TGAAGAATGAAAAGTTCTCTTGATCTGTATAATGAAAATACTGAATAACAAATAATTTACTATTTATAATATAATTTATTATTCCCTTACCTTACTATGATTATCATTATTATTATGAATTTTTGAATCTATATAAATGCTTTTAAAATCTATTTTTTTGATATTACTAATATTATGATTATTGTGATTATTGTGTCTACTTGTAAAATAATTACTTTTTATTATTGTTGTTGAAATGCGTTTTTTGAGTATTAAAAAAGTAATTTTTGAAATTATATTTTGTTTTCTTATAGCCATGATATTTTTAAAATAATAAAAAAAAAAAAAAAATTTTTTTATTTACTGATGATAATCATAATTAAATTTATCTATCCAATAAAAAAAAAACCTTTTTTTTTACGATCCGCAAATTCAGTTTGAACATTTGATTCAATTCGCTCTTAAATCAACCAAAGAAAGAAACGTTTTTATAAAATTACTTGCATTCTCTGGAAAAAAGTTTCGATTACCGTAAAACAATTAATTAGACAAAAAACGTACATAATAAAAATAAAAGTAATTTATATCAAATCGTAGCTAAACTTCAAAACATGCATGCAAAATTTAATGTTTCTCCATGTCTAGAAAATTTTGACAAAGATGTGTTTGAAAAAGATGTTAATATAGCTTGATAAAAAAAACCCCCGAATTTGAAGATCTTACTTATCTTGATTTTGACAAGATGAGTAGATGAATTTGTTTGACTCGCAACAAATACAAACATTATTTATTCGTGTTTTGTTATCAATTTTAATTTTTTAGAAAAAAAAAAATGTCATCAAGAAAAAATAAAAAGCTGACAGAAAAAGTTATTAAAATACGAATAGGCGCGGAATGTGTGATACTGAAAGGCACTTGGTATGTTTTTTATTCAGCATAAAACACACGGAATAAGATTATGTAATTGAGCAAGATTATTTTATTAATCGAAATGATGTAATCATTATTTTGTCATTTTCATGTAAATCAAGTTTTGTTTATCGATCATTGACTTGACCGATAATAATAACAACAATAAAATAAAATGTAAAAAAGTGTTTTTGAAATCCAGGTTCGATAATAACACGTTGTGTGATAAGACTTTGACGATCCGAGAATCTGTGGTAAATCTCCAAGGCAAGGCCATAGTTTTTGGTCATTTCAAACGGTTCGAAACGTCAAAGATCTAATGGTAGACAACGGTAGACACCACGCAAAAAAATTTAAAGCGGAACACGATTTCCTTCCAGTCAAGTACCTGCTTCGCTCAATACTGATGTTTTGCATAAAAATAGATAATTTATCGGTTGCCAAATAGATATAAATGGGAATTCGCATGTTACAACCATTTATCATTTTTGGAAAGCGAAAATATTCAAATCAATTTGCAAATTTCATGCTAGCATAGCAAAAAAAGAAAACCCGATTCATTACAAAGTTTTATGATTTTGATCTCATCCTTCCCCAACAATTTAGTTTACTAAAGTTGTTTGCAACAGAATATTCGTGATTCGTCACTATAACTGCGCTGGATTTACCGTCTCAAGTCTTTCTTTAAATATAACAGAATGCTTCCCCTGCATTCAAATTTGGGAAAATAATTATGAAAAAAAAGAAAATACCGTATTACACAAAATTACGGCATTTAGAAAGGAACTGTAACACGGCAACCTTTCTAATTAAAACACCAAGTCGAATTTATATATTATATTTTTATATAATGTCATATGTTAAGCTATTATCATCATTATTACCAGAAAGAAAGGAATTTATACATAAAATTTATAATGGAATGCATGATAATGCTAATGCTAGTTCTGAAAGAGAAAGTATGAAAGATTATTTTTTTTCATTAGTCAAAAAAAACAAGGAGCTTGCTGAAAATGAAAAAGAATATTGTAAAGAAAAGTTTATTTATGACCTTGAATTAAATAGTGCAATATATAAATTGGGCAAACCAAAAGAATGTAACAAGTGTAAATTGACAAGATACTCTGATAGGTTCTGTGAAAGTTGTATTAGTTTACATTTACAGAGTCTTTTCACCACTTGGACATCTGAAAATAACATAATTGATGATTTTATTCAACAATGTCAAATGAAATCATCTCTGCCAACTCACATTTTAGAATGGATACCCTTTGAGCAATTTAAAAAAGTGACAAAGTTGACAGAAGGTGGATTTAGTTCGATTTTTACTGCTACATGGACAAGAGGAACTATTGTTGATTACGACGAAAATAAAAAGGAATTTAGCTATTTTGGAGGTAGAGGGCAACTAGTAGTATTAAAAAGTTTAAATGATTCAAGTAATCCAGGAAAAGCCTTTTTTGATGAGGTTGGTAGTTGTCATTTAAACAATACTGTATTATATAATACTAATTGACTTTATATTTAATTATAGGCAATAAATTATTGTAAAATTCGATCGATTTTGATTGTTAAATGCCATGGTATAACTAAATTCCCAGATAATGGAAATTATGCAATAGTTTTAAATTATTTGGAAGGAAATTTAAGGGATTATTTGCAAAAAAATCATTTAAATTTAGCATTAAAAGACAGAATTTCAATCTTTGATTATTTATGTGATGCATTAAATCAGATACATAAAAAAGATTTAATCCATTGTGATTTACATAGTGGTAATATATTATTGCAAGGAGGTGGTTGTTATATTACAGATTTAGGATTATGTGGACCAGTTGATGGTGAATCATCAAATAAAGTCTATGGAATTGTATCATATGTTGCACCCGAGTTACTTATAGGCAATAATACAAAGAACACAAAAGAAACTGATATCTATAGTGTTGGGATGTTAATGTGGGAAATATTTGCAGGACATCCACCATTTGATGATAGAGCTCACAATCATCGTTTGATTTTTGATATATGTGAAGGTTTACGACCATCAATACTACCTGGAATGCCTGAAGATTATGTGCAAATGATGCAGAGGTGTTGGGATGTGGATCCATCAAAAAGACCAACTAGTGGAGAGCTGAGTAACTTTGCTTATAATAAACATTACGAAATTATTAAAAATGAGAGTTTGAAAAATAATAATAGTAATAATAGTTTAATAAAAAGATTATTCAAATTTTCTAAAATCAAAAAACATGAAAATAATAACAATAATACTACTACTAGTAGCAGTAGTATCAGTGATTGTAGTGATTTGCAAAAAGCACACAAATCACATCCAGGTGCGTATCATACAAGTAGAATATTAGATGAAGAGATTGCTAAATCTAAAAGCTTAATAATTTATAAAAGTAATGATAGTTCGTTGAATAATCTTGATTTTAACTCTTTTCTTTAAAATGTTAAAGGTAAATAAATTTTATTATTAATCAATTGGAAATTATTATCCATTAATATTAATTAATTAATAAACATTGTATTCTAGTAACAATAGTAAAAGAAAAGATCCGATGAATGACTAATTTAATCTCCACTATAAATTTGGTATCTTTTTTTTATTTATCTTTTTATTTTACTCTTATTTATTTCTTATCTTGCAACAATATTTTGAAATAATAGACTTTTTACAATTTTTGATTCTTAAATGGTGATATTGCAAGGTATCATTTTGGTTAATTAACAATTATGGGCAAATAATTTGGTGCTTGTCAATTAATTAGTTTATGAATTTGCACCTAAGTGAATCTGTTAGCACACTTAATGGTACCAGATAGCTGTAAATAAATAAAGATAGCCCTTTTGTAATGCTATAAAGTTCCTTTTATTCACTTGTGATCGATTTGTTTCAGTTGTTTGCTGACTGATTTCAAACTCGCTTTAGTAGCTTGTTTAACAGCCTTACGTTTACGATTACAATAACACTACCAGTATTTCCAATTAACCTTTGGACGATACTTCGTTGACACCCAATATTTAGTCCAAACCTTTGTTTACTCACTAAAGCAAATAAAACATGGCTTTTCACCAAAGCTCCACAATTGTTACCTTTTATCAAGACATTAACTACATTTGCTGCTTTATCAAAGCGTTTTAACCTAAGAAAATAAAGACAATGTTTTTATTTTTATTTTTATTTTATAAAAGTTTATTAACGATTAATTTTATTTAATAAAAATAATGATTCGCGAAGACCTGAAGTTATGCTTTTTTAAACAAAGACCAGAAGTTATCCTCAATGAAATTTTCGTTGATAAAGAGATAAAGATGGGTTATTATTGCAAAGTAACTTAATCAATCAATGTTGATATTGTAAAAACTTCCACACAGCAATTTGATAATATACACTAAAATTAGTTGACCCTGAAACATGATTTTATCTACCCCGACAATGTATCATGTTATTAAGAAATATTCGAGTTTAGTTAGTAAATGAGAGCGTGTGCGTGTTGAATTTTTGTATTCAACAAAAGAAAAACTTTGCTCCTTGGGGACAATTGATAAAAAAACCTTGGAGTATATATTTATAAGTGAGCCTTTATATTTCATTAGCCTTTAAAGCAATTTTACTTACGTCATTTTTGACTTAATGGCAGCGATTTTGACGTAATGGTTTGGTAACATTTCGTCAAACAACATTATTTGATTTCCATAGGAGAAAATAAAATGCTCCGATAAAGAAAAACAAAAATTAATTGATGTTCTGATTCCAATTTGTCCTACAATTGAGTCGGTTTAACAATTCTTTGGGACCTTGAGATTGTACTGAAATTGCGGTTGAAATTGCATAAGAACAAGGTTCATAACAAGGGTTAATATGAGCCATGAAAATGCTTAGAAAACATTGATAATAATTTTTGGGGATCATTTAGATATTGAGCCTTTGATCAGTAAGAAGTTTAATTTAAAATTTAAAATTAGCTTATCGATATATGAGCGCGTTGGTTAGCAATATCAGAACGTTATCATAATTATCGTAGAATTTAGCTCTTTTATGATAAAATGAATTTCTACTACTAACTTGAATTAGTGACCTTGTCATAAAAATGACACATAACTCAAGCACTACTTTTCCCTTGGAATTTTTTTTTTAGTATAATTTTGGTTTACGTTTCCTATATATTTGTCAATGAAATGGTAGCACGGGAAATAAAACATTCTATATAAAGTACTCATTATGCTCATATTCAGAACGAATGAGCTGACGAATGTACAGAACATATAGAATATACAGAGCCAAGAAACCCTAAACAGAATTTTTTTGGGAGAATAAAAGGTGCTGATCAAATTCTAAACCTTTAACACCATGAATAGTGGAAAGAGTAATTCCTTCAGTGTTTTTTTCTAAATCTTGGGTCAATTCTTCTTTAAACTTGGTGATTAGCCGAAACATACTCAATATTTATCCGAATATTCTTTTTTTTACCTTGAAGATTGTGACCTGCTTGGGCTAATGTTTCGGCAAAAAAATGCTGATTAATGAAATTATTTTGTTCGATGCATGCATGAGAGATTAATTATTAAAAGATCTTTCTTTACAATCAATATTATCACTCATTATTGATGGATAGATATTTGATCTTCTTTTTATCTTACTATCTACATCTACACTACAAAACAAAGACAATGTTTAAGAAAAACCTATATACGAACCTAATACAGTCAGAACTCATTAAGACGATGCTTTGATAAAACGAATATACACGGTAAACCGACGTTTTTATTATCTACCTATTAAATTTATCTCTATAAGCCAATTTTATTAAGGTTTTCTAAACCAAAGATTTTTTTTTGTGAAAACATAGACTTCGGTTTAATGAGTCTTGACTATATACCAAAGCATTATTCACTAGAATTTGAATTAAAAATTTGAACCAATCAAATTTTTGATAATTTTTTGTCTTTAAAAAAAAAAATCTAAAGTATCAATTTCCTTTGACAAATAATAATAACATGTCATCCATTTTTGTTGCTGTGCTCTTAATTAAAACAGTCTCTGTCACCTCTGACTTGACTATGATTGATATAATGGCAACGAATTCGTTGATTATCGTTACAAAGCATTCACTTGCGCTGATAACCAGCATATGATCCACAAAATTGAACCATGTTAGTGATGTGAGTATCAATTAATCACCTTTTGTATGGGTCAAAAAATGCGACGAATTAAAAAAAAGGACACCATCACCCAAACAATATTTTTGGTTTTAAAAACTACCACCAATGTACGATCTGCCATCATGTTAGCCTTTTGGGAATTACTGGACTCCATATAAGTCTTTGGAAGTTAACAAGAACTCTACCTCGTATTTCACCTCAAGTGGAGAACATACAATCACCTGACCTCCAACTGAGATCGCTAGACACGCTGGTGTTACCAAGCAACTAAGTCCAAATACAGTCATCTCTATCAGTGGCAGACTTTACAAAGGGAAAAGCATGATCCAGATCATCGTTTTGGGGATAGAATGGAATAACATACATCCTGAAAATGCAGACAGCATGTCATCATCTGAGCAGGGACTAAAAATAGTAAGAACCTAACAAGTTATAAAAGTAGGTGTAAAGCTCCGAACCGAAACCGGAGCTTTAGGCTAAAAACTACTTGCAGTCACTGGTATTTTAATTTTTGCACTCTGTTTACTTGGAATTAAATTTATTGATTTCTAATCTAATAAATTTATTATAGCAATCAGTGTCCCAGTTGAACGAGTTTTTCCTGGAGGCACAGACTTAATTACAAAGGTATTGTAGTTTAGAACCTGAAACAATAAGAGTTTGAATGCATTTAAAAAGTTTGCAGAGACGATGAATTTTATATATGAATTTTTTTAAAAAAATAGAACGTTCTTAGGGTTTCTATTCGAATAGGATTTATTCGAATCATTTGTTTCATTCGTTATGAATTTTGATTATTCGAATTACATTGAAAATTTAGTCGAATAAAACGAACAAAACAAACAAAATAAAAACGAGTAATTCGAATAAGGCGAATAAACGAATAAAATGAATAATTCGAATAAGAATTTCTATTACAAATGGAAACTCTAAGCATAGAAATATGTAACGATTAGACTTATAACTGACCAGCTGTATATAAACATGGCATTATATATGAAATGGATCATGATCTCCATTTTAATTTTGATAAGAAATGGACCCTCACTACTATGGTATAAAAATTATAGACTATGTATTTAGAGACAGGATCCTTCCAGCATTTCTACTTCGAAACATATTCGCCAAAACCAAGCTACAAGCTATAATATTTTTTTTTTTTGTGAAGTTATTATATTTATTTTTTTTGGGTCAAATGTAAACCGAAAAAACCAAAAACTGAACCGAACCGTTCGGAGCTTTAAGCAGGTGTCAGAACAAAGACCCTCCAGGGAAAGCCAAAAATCAGTGATCAATATCAAAGAGGAGAATGCAATGAACCAAACTGAAGAGAAAGATTATACTGAAAGGTTGGATTATGATAGAACCCAAAACAAGTCTGAAGAGATTGTTAACTCAGGTACAAAGGCCAGTAAAAAACACCAAATGATGAGAAAAATCTCGTTATCTGTCAAATCGTATTCAAATTTTTCATTTGTGCGTTGATTCATTCTTTCTTTGACAAAATTGTATTGATACATTCTTTATTGTCTTTTTTTGCTTGACAACAATGAAGTCAAGTTCTGTGAATTGAATTTCCTGCACATAAAATTAGCATGATCTAAAAAATAAACAAAAAATATTTTTTAATATTCAAATTTTTCCTTTGTGAATTCATTCATTTTAACTTGTGCTCATACATTCTTTTGCTTGACGACAATAAAGTTAATTGAATATCCTGCACATAAGAGACTAACATGTATCAACTCCTTCACTTGTAGTAATTTACCATTTTGATGATAAATGCTCTGACATCATTATATATAAGTTCATAGACATGTTCAATAATCAAATAATCTGTCACATACAAGAAGATGCATAGGCGATGTATCCGAATAATAAGTTCTTCGAACATGACATATGCAATGGAACTATTAGTGTGATCACAAAGTTGTTGACGACACTAACGTTGAAGTTACCTTTTCTACAAATGACAACATAATAAAAATTAATGTTCAAAAAAACTACGTCAGTTTCGATAAGTCAGTTCCCCAATCCCGAATGCATTCGCACTCACCATTCACAAGACACAGGGCCTCATATTACCACACTCGACCTTGGCCATCGATGAAGGTAAATGCGAACGTAATTATCCTGGCTGAACATGGGAGATTGAACTGCCCGATTCAAAGGAACTCGAGAGAAATAAGCTAAACGTTGGTTAATGTTGGTGTATTCCTCATTGTATAAGATCAAAAAAAATTTTGAATTGATCAGCAATGTGTCACTTGATCTTTTAAAAAAAAAATTTGTATTATAATTAGCTCATTTGCGCATGCTACTGCAACAATGGTTACTTCAATTTCTGAATAATTCACAGGTTAGAAGTCATCCTCATCATATTAATTTATTTTTAGTATTAGGAAATGTTATTTTGATTGATTAAAATATCATTTATCATCATCATCATCGAGTATAACAACATTAATATATTTTAATATCCATATTTATTTTTAAACTTAATATATTTAATACTATTTTATTATTACTATATTATAAATTAGTTTTTGGATGGTTGAAAAATGTATTATTAAATCATTATTATCTCATAAAAATTTTTAAAATCTGATAATTTGTGAGAGATATATATTGTAATATATGAAAGTTTGAGATAAAATTTACCATTAATAAATAATTTTATGAAAATAATCCCCCTAAAATAATGGCATATCATATTCAAACAATATTTGTAAGATACTTAATTCCAAAACATTACAACAGATATTTATGCAATTTTAATAAGAAATTTATTTTTTTTTAATTACATGAAATCAAATACACGAATAAAAAATTATTCAAGAAAGATTATAGAAATAAAAATTATTATAATACAATAAAATTATTAAATAAAATAAAATTTAATTATGATTTTTAAAAACATCAACTTGTTACAATTATTAATTATTGAATGCTAATCTTTTTGCCGATAGGTTCAATTTTTGGAAGTTTTAATTCAAGAACGCCATCTTCAAATTTAGCATCAATATCCTCAGTTTTCACATTATTGGGAAGTGAAAGCGAACGCTCAAATTTACCCCAACGGCGTTCTTGGATATGAGTTGTACCCTCTTTATGCTCTTGGCTTTGTTTAGTTTCGCCCTTGATTGTTAAAACATCATCATTAATGCCAATATCTATTTGTTCCTTAGTAAGACCCTATACATAATCATGTAAAAAGAGAAAGAATTTATTTTTATGTCAACATAAAATATATAAATTATTATTTCTAAGGATGAAAAAAAAAACTTACCGGTAATTCAGTAGTAATAGTGAATTCTTTTTCACCTTCACGAACATCAATTAAAGGAGTCCAGTCACGATCATGTCTACGACCACGACCACGTTTTGATACGCTTGAATCTTTAAAGTCGTCGAAAAAAAAACGATTAAAATTGACTTCTGGATCAAAACCAAAGCTTATGATCGACATTCTGTAAAGTTATTATTAATGTTATATGTAATTATAAAATTTTTATTTGCGATTTTTTTTTTTTTTGAATTAAATTGAATTGAATTGAATTTGTTGTATTTGAATAATTTGAATAATTTGAATTTTTTGTTCGTTCAAAGACACTTGATATTTATATTGGTCAACATTGAAAACTCGAAATTTCTAGTGAGATCTACCAAAATTTTGCTGCGTTTCTGGAATTTTCCATAAAAATCTTTAATTGTATCATCTTGCTTTGTTGTGAAAAAAATATTACATATGATTGTATCTTTAAAAAAAGAACAAAAAGGAACAAAAAATATGCTTTTTTTAACTTTACTAATATTAGAAAAATTTTATTTTCATGATGGCTGAATAAAAAAAAATCTCGTTAGTTCAAAAAATTTCTCTTCACGTGTGGTACCAGGGCTGGAAATAGTATATCAGTCATCCGTAATTTCACGGGATCGACATGTCTACTGCTGTAGCTATGTAATTTTTTCGTGAAACATTTCAATTTTTACTATTAAAATCGAAGGAAATTTTCATTTGCTACTAGTAAAACCACATGACATTTCTAAACAAGGAGTGTGATTCTTTGTACACACGTTGTTTGAGATTTAATTTATTACCTCGCAAAAGTTCGGCTATAGTTTATTAAGAAAACGGAAAAGAATGGTCTGTTCAAAGTTATACCTTCAGTTCTTAATCATGTTACAACAAATTATTTTGAACTTGTAATTTCAATAAAACATAAACAAGAAGCCACCATTCGGTTTTTAGAAAACATTGGGTTGGTGAGGCATGGACAATGGAAACAAGGTCAACTTCTATGATCCACATCTCAAATGTATAATTCCTTAGTAAATAAAATAATTCTTTACTAATAAGCATATCTTTTAATTCAACTAGCATAGTGAGTTTTGGAATAAATATTACTACCACATAAAATCAACCTTATGGATGGATATATTTATGTCTAAGAAAACTAAAAGGTAATAATAATAATTTAATGGGTTAAAATAACTCTCACTACATTAATAAATGAATATATTTAATATTGTATTTAATATAAATCAGTAAATAATTATATTGTTTTTTATTATATGAGTCAGATATGAAGTACAAGAATATATAACAATAATTCAGCAAACACACATAACCATAAACCAGGGCAGAATGTCATCCTAATAGTGGTATTTTCATTCCAATCAGTTCAGTATTTTTATTAATTAATCAAAATTTAAAAAAATCAAAGAATTTTAACATGAGCAGTTGATGTTTTAAATTGTAGGCGATCTTTAAAGTCTCTATAATAAACAATATGTAATTTTTCAGTATGATGGATGATGGAACTTCAGCTTTCTAATGACTATAAGATCGTCAATTTATTCCAAAAATTGGAATATTAACAGCAAATATTAATTTATCAATTATAGTGTAAATTGATTGAAAAAAAAATTTTTTTTTTCATTTATTGTTTAAATTTTTATATATGAGGACAGAAGTTACAAACTGATATAATTCAATTTAATTTACATTTATTAATAAAAAATTATTATACATAGAAAAATCTATTTAAATTACATGATTCATGAACATACAATAAAGTTAAGAGATTACTTGTATGATAATATGAAAAAAAAAAAAATTATAATGTTAATATAAAACTCAGTGAGATCACAAACTTTTCTTTAGTGGTACATTGTTTAGCCATATAATCATTTAAAATATTTTTTTCATATTTAATTTTTAACATGTAACAAATAATCAATTAAATATTGACAAAAAAAAAAAATCTAATAAATATATTAATTAAATTTCATTTAATATAATTTTTGATACCTAATACTAATATTTAATAGTTTTCCTTTTTGTTATCTGTTCATTCAATTTTGAGATTATCTTGTTTTTCTTATTTTTGTCATTAATTCTACTATCTTAAAAATTCTTCACAATAAAAATAAAAAAACAAAAGTTCAATTTAAAGATTATATTAATAATTAATAATTTATTAAGTTGAAATATTAATCAATATATTAAAATATTTTTTCTTTTGTAACCTTTTGAGTAGAAACTCCAATTAAAAGATTGTGTTTTCATATATTATCTAATCATTATTAATATTAATATAATAAAAGTTAGAAAACAGTAATGCGAAAAAAAAATTTGTTAAAAGCTCTTATATATAATAATAAATAACTTATAAAACCGTTTTTTGCTTTTAATTTCTTCCTTCCCCAAGAAAACCATCCGAATCATATATTTTCTGAAAGCTCTTAATGTACTCTGTCTTATCATGCTAAAACGATCTCAATAGAGCTGATTTCCGAAAAGAATTAAGCTTCCGAAGTCAAAAACCATAGGTTTCTTTGAGAGGCTATTACTCCATAACTGGAAGAGCTACAAATGCATAAAGCTCGCGTTTTAAAAATCAAAGGCAAGTGATTGTTTTTACTTAGAGGCACAAAAATTGTTTAATAATGAGTTTACGTTCAATTCATTCGCCAAAGTCCATTGTACAGAAAATGTGTCATGTTGATCATATATTAAAATCAGTCACTGTGAAATGTCGTCCGACTAATATAATTGTCATTAATCTTATATATAATATGTTTTCTTGGTAATTAACAATTAACAATGTCATTTCGAGCCTGATCAAGAGAAAATTTGAGAAGTATAAAGCTTTCAACAATAATAACTTAACTTTTTTGCATCGGCTGTTCAAAAACTCTTGTGTGTAAAGTTTTCTATGTAAAGTTCTCTTTTTACTATGAAACGTATGACATTTTTAATTTTTGAAGGGGTGACAGTTTTGGAATTGGAAGATCGGCAAATATCTATATGTGCAACATTGAGTTGTCCCCCCATACCCCTAGATACTATGAATAATGTGGAATATGTACTTAATAAATCAAATGAATTGATTTTTAGATAAATTCTTCTAATTGGTTAAAGACATGCAGTAGTCACAAGTTTGGTGCTTCTTAAAAAATATCAAAATCTGCAATTGTCACTAGTTAATTAACATATGTGTAACAATATCATAGATGGATCCTACCCTTAATCAGCCCATGTGGACAATTTCTGAAAGCTTACACCTTTATCCCTCAGTTTCGTAGAGATAGAGCCTCAGCCTGGGGAAACATATGTTACCGGAATTAGATTTTGATGCAGATCTTTTGGTCGAATCTCTTAATTCCGGGACAATTTAAATTTTATTTATATTTTTATTTTTATTTTGTTTTATTTTTATTTATTTTATTTTTATTATTTTTATTTTTATTATTTATCAATAACGTGTATAATTATTTATTATCATCTGAATTAAGGTTGTGGGCGAAACCTCTTAATGACTGTCGAAACTCTGTCGAAACTCTAATGAACAATTAATGTGTAACCTGTCGAAACTCTGATGATTGGCGAAAACCCCAAATGCGAAACTCTGCCGAAACTCTAATAAACAATTAATGTGTAACCTGTCGAAACTCTGTCGATTGATTTCTGGAGGAGTTTCTCCCGCAACCTTAATCTGAATTCGTGTTATGTTTCATGTAATTAATCAATCTGTAGCACGTTCATATTTATTTAACTTTATTTAGTAGAGATTAATGATGATTCTCCTGGAACAGGCGGAATTGCTCAAAACATGCAGATTTGCCCAAGTACAAAGTGAGCAAATTTGTGCAATCTGAGTGAAAACACGCAATTTGAGCAGAATTGCCCAAACCAAGCAGATCTGCACAATTCGGGCTAATATGTAAATGAACATGTATATAAAGAACTTGATTTCAACCTAATGTAAAAGTAACTTTGTCAAAAGTTAATTAGTTTCAACTAAATAAAACTAAATAAATAAAATAGTAATATTTTATTTAAAACTTTTATCTTCTTTAACCAAAATTATTCGCTAATACCAAAATCAATTCATTGATCCCTATTCATTCTGATCCACACAAAAACAAAAATAATTGTTATCACCAATTAAAATATGCTCTCCCAAATTTAATCGGTGACACATATAAGAGGGATATCCCCCCCTTATCAATCTTGTTGATCTTTGGGTATCAGTCAGATAATTCACTCAAGATCTATGGACCAGGTGATCAGAGATACAGTCTAACCTTGTCCAATTCTTCTTCCATGGCTGCTTCTTACTCTAATTCCACCACTAACTCTTCTACCACTTCTAGTTCTACTATATTTTGAAGTTTCGATTAATTCATTTCATCATCCTCATTGTTTATTTCTGAAATATTATGATTGTCAGATAATTTGTCATCATAAATTCCACTTAATCTTCTTGTAACATTAGCAATGTAACATTCATCATCATCAGAATCAGGAATTAGTTGGTCATCTTCAAAAATATTAATACTTTGTTCTTGAAGTTCAATTGGGTTCATTTTAATTTTTTTATTATTAAAAAATAGTTGTTTTGGGGAAAGTTAGAAATAAAATTGTTTTGAATATTTGAATTTACTTATCTGATAGCCTTTTACACTTCTAGAATTTATAAGAAATTTGGGCCAAGCTTTTTGATATGAATTTCATTTAAATCGGATTTAAAAAAGCAAAATTCAGTGTTTAAATAAAATGATCGACAAAGAAAATTCCAAGTGAACTTTTATGTTTACACACATTATCTTTTTATTTGTGATATGCAACTCCTAATAAACTTTCCTTAAACAAAAGTGGGGTGCATTAAATATCATTTTCTGAATAGGAAAGGTTGTGGTGGTACTCAAGGAAAATGCCTATTTTTTGGAATTTATGATCGCAATTCCAAATTCTGTGCTGATTAGCACAGAATTTCGTTTAAGGGATAACCACTTGAAAGGTTGTGTTAGAAAAATTTTGACTTTAATTATAAGAGACGGATTTATAATTATTTGTAGGTTATTAATTTATTATAATATTAATTGATGAAATGAAACTATCATAGCAACACTGTAATAGAAATGCTTAAAAGTTAAGTAGCCTATTACTATCTTTGTATATAAAAAACAAACCTTGAGTATAATCTGTGCTTATTGTTAACATTATTTATTAATATATAAAATTGTTACATGATCATCTAGATCTTATATACATTGGAATTAATGAGAGTGAATATAACAAACAAACCTTGGTTTTTACAAATAATCTGTGCTTATTAGCTGAGTTTTTTGCAGATTATACAAGTATTGCTATTGCTTACAGGAATGATTGTGGTGCTGCTAGAAAGTTTACATCATGAATCAGGAATTCCTTTTATTGAAGTTTTTGTTGATGCACCTAGTTGAAACATTACTATTTGTTTGTTTTTTTTTCATTAAATTGTTTTTTATTTGTTTGGCAGATCTTTGATTGTTTTGCTGCTTTGTGGCAAGACCTTTGCTATCAATATATTTTTTAATAATATAACTGTTGTTCTACAAATATCGAGATTTTGGCTATTTGGAAATGGGCTCATTATTTTTGTAAAGATCAATGATTTTGTCATGTTGAACTTCAGTTAAAGCTAACATTTTTAAATTTTCAAAGGATTTAAACAAATATTTATTAAAAATCATAAAAACATAGATTCGTGCTTATTTAAAACACGTATTACCATATATTAAGATTCAAATAAGATTATTATGTATGTTTTTATTCAATTCTTTTTTTTTTTTTTTGGAATGAGGAAAAAAAAATATTAATATTTTTATTGTCATGTAAGGCTCCGAATGAATCAAATCAAACCAAATTTTTGTTTCTGAAATTTTAACACAGAAATTTTTAATAATAAGCCTGACACAAAAATATACATAATAATCATACAAAAAATTATACCAGTGTGTAATGAAAGTTCTGAAGATTATATATATATACTTTCATACTTCCAGATTTTCTAGAATTTTGTCAATTTGAAATAAAAGGAATTTGATTATTTTGAAAAAAACAATTCAATGTGTAAATTTCTTTAATAATTGCTCTAAAGCCTACATAATAACATGCTTCAAAATTTTCATATGTTATAATCTAATTTCCTCCGATTCTCTGTTATAATTTTCATCATATAATTTTGGCTATTGTTGCATTAAAAGCAATATTTTTACCAACTACCCTTTTTTTTTGAGACACACTGTATGGGGCCTGATCAATAGAAACGAGGCATGTCAAAAAAATCATTTGAATCTTCTATTCCTAATGAAAAATTATTTTCTCCAACCCTGTTTTTAACTTTATTGGCTTCATCTATATCAACATTAAGCACTGAACCAACCAATTCTGGATCTTCTGCCTCAACTCTTACAAATTTTTGCTTTTTATTATTATTATTATTTATAATAAAAATTCAAATATTAATATTTTTTTTAATAAAATGAAAAAAAATAAACAATAAAATTAAACTTACTTCGGCTTCATCTATAGCTTCCAAGTCAACCATTTCATCATCTAATATATTACCCGAAGAATTATTTAAATCCGACTGTGTGTCTCTTTGATCAAGTTCTACAACACTTAAATCTTCAGCAACAACCAATGTACAAATATTAAGTATAAAATAAAACAAAATAAATATAAGTCTGATTGAATAATCTTTTTGAAACCACATTTTTTGTTTTCTTATTTTGAATAGAGTATAATATTATAATATTAATATATTTTATAAATAATCCTAACTATTAAAGTAATTTTGTAACGATAATATTTGGTGAGTTAGAAATTTTTTCATTGGTTGTTCGATTTATAATGAATGCACCAATAATAATAATAAAATTTTTTTCCAATTTAATTTGTATTTCAGGCTTTTAGAAAAGCCTTTAACTAGAGATTAGAACAGAATCTTAAATTATGACCTAACAAGACCCATTATACTTAGGAATTTGTTACTTAGCATCAAAGTAATGTCAAATAGCTCTGATTTTTAATTCAGTTCGTGTCTTTACCTTCTAATAATTAACCAATTATCTTTTTACCTTGTATATACCAGGGCGCGAAATCCTATTACTATTATAAATTCGATAAAATTTTAGAATGTCCAATAAAAATTTCGGAAATCGGCCATTTTTCAGACATTCCCCCGATATTTTTGATCACCCTGATATACTGTGGGGCCTGATCAATAGAAACGAGGCATGTCAAAAAAATCATGTTTTGAGAAAATCAACAAATAAGATTTTGACCCCCAAAATTCATGATTTGTAGATCATTGCTAAATTTTATTAAACATTCAAAAATTCATTTATTTATAATAATAATAATAATTGCTCATGTAACATCATGTAGACTAATGCCATTTCACTTTTTCTCAAATATCTCAAAACATTTATAAGCAAAGTGGGTATAGTTACCAAGTTAAAAATGTTCTTTGTGATGAATTACATATAAAAATATTGTTAACTCAAATCGACTTTTTGGTGACAACAGTACATTTTAATTATTGAGATCGGATTTTTAGTGTTACATTAAAAGCAGTTATATTAATATGGAATTTAAATAACGAGTTTGAGATAGAGTTTGATTTTTCGAATCAGAGATTTATATATTAATATGAATTAAAATAGATTTGAGTTTGAATCGGAGATATGGAATTTAAATACGAGTTTTTTATTTTTTATTTATTTTTGGAAAAAATAAATTTACCAAATATGGCATTTTTCAAATCAGTAAAATAAATTTTTTTTTTAAAATATGAATAAAGAAGATTTATCAAATATTTTGGAAAATGAAAATCTTATGACTTCTGTGCTTGGTGAAATTTCAGAACTTTTCAAAACCAATCAAGAAGAACTTAAATTTCAATTACTTGATTTTTTTCATGAATTATTTTCTCGCTTTACAGATGAGGTATATTTAATATATATATATACACATGTATATCCAACTTTTTTAATTTTAAATTTTTAATTTTTAGAAATTTAATATAGTTTTCAAAGAACAAAAAAATTATAATGTGATTATTAATATCAGAGATGGGTTAAAAGATATTTTAAGTAATAAATTAGGTAATGAGGAAAGAGATAAAGCATTATCTTTGGTAATGCTTTTACTTGATCGTTTTGGTGGCAGATGGCTATTCTCACCAAATATCGATGAAGACTTTTCACATAAAAAGCTATCAAAATATCCAAAAGAAAAGGTCAATGAAGATTTTAAATTTGCTGCACTGGTGATACAATTGGCATGTGTTGAAATTAGATTACTGTTGGATGAATTGATGGATCAATATGAAATTATTGAAAATAAAGACCTTAAAGACAATAATAAAAATAGTGATGATGATAATAACAATAATAAAGGCAATAATAATAATGTCAATAATCCTTATAATAATACCAATAAACATGAAATAATGTTACCAGTATGTTACACTATTTTAGAAAAATCAATAGAATACTTTTCACAATTTGAAAATTATTTGAATTCTCAAGATGACAATGTTGAAGTTGCTATAAAATTTGATCCAGAAATATTATTAAAAATCAAAGGGATTTTAACTGAAACATTTAGAGCAATAATTGATAATTTACTTGAATTCAAAGTAAGAAAAAATTTTTTTCCTTATTAATCTACATATTTGGTTATTTTAGATTCACTGATTCATTGATTCATTGGTTGATTGATATAATTTAGGAATATACAAAAAATGATGTTAAAGCAGCAATTAATGATTTTAAAATTTTAGCAAGTATACGGGTCCTTTCATCATGGTTAGCTGAAGAAAATGAATTTCAAAAAGAAGTTTCACTTCTTATGCCATTCTTAATCAATATTTGTTCTTATAGGTTTGAAAAAATACATTAATAAAACCAATTTATTTATTTGACAAATAAGACTTTATGTTAATAATTATTTTATTTTGTTAATAAAAATGCAGTGAAAAGGAAAACTTGGAATTAAATCTTGTTAAAATTATGATGCCAGCTTATTTGAATCTCACATCTCAGGAAGAACCTCAAGATGCTTTTCTTTCTCATGGTGGTAGTAATTTAATAATTAATCATATACTTAATATTTGGTCTAATATAAACAGCAGTGGTAGCAATAGTGCCAGTAGTAGTAATGTTGATAATATTAATGTTAACGAAATTTATTCAAGAGATTTTGTTAATGATGTTCTTGGTCCAATACAAGTTTTATTAAATATAATTGTGTCAGAAAGAGAAAAATTTGTTATTAGAAATGAGAAAGAAATATCAAAAGTCATGAAAATATGCTTTCAAATCTTAAATCTTCTTGGTAAATATTTCTTTTTTCATGCCAAATTAAATTATGTGGTAATATTTATTTTATTTATTTATATATACAAACACACATTAATTTTTTTTTGTTATTTAGACAAATCCATAAATTCATCATCATTATCTTCATATTCTTCTTCTTCATTATGCAACAACAATCAAATAATCCTTTTTTCAAATATCTTATTATTTTGTTTATTGATTATAAGAAACACACCTCCATCATCAGATCAATTAATTGAAAATATTAATTTAATAGAAAATCTAAAAAACATTGCAAATAATTTTTATGGAAATATACAAAATAATAATAGTTTGATAAATGATTTACAAATTGAAGAATTAATATATTTGGGAAAACAGAATTTAGAAAATTTTTAAAATCATTCAATATTTTATCAATTCATTATCTTTGTTATTTTATAATAAAGTAATATTTACAATTTGAGAAAAGCAAAATATGGCAACCAATAATTAGGTTCTATTGTGACTTATATTTAATGTTTTGCTTAGGTTATCAATGATGATGATTGTGTGGTCTAAATGCTTGGTTATGATTAAAAAAGAAATATTCAGACCTTTAGTACACAGAGATAGAATTCATTATTAAATTTTTTTGAGATTCAAGAAAAAATGGCATGTTGCAACAAAACCAAAGTGAACTTTTGGTATTACCAACAATTTCAGGGGCCGAAAAATTATAACAACTGTATTGTGATTATGATTTTTGTTTTTTGTTTCTTATATAGGATTACCTCTGCATAAAAATAATTAATATGAAACTCATCTACATCAGATCTACTATGGAACCCAGCACCACTAGGAGTATTTTGAAGAAAGAACATGGTGAAAAAATTGCTCCTTATATTTTCAAGTAAATGATACTCAGACACTTGAAGCTTATCTGGGCCTGATCAATAGAAACGAGGCATGTCAAAAAAATCATGTTTTGGGAAAATCAACAAATAAGATTTTGACCCCCAAAATTCATCATTTATTTATAATAATAATAATAATTGCTCATGTAACATCATGTAGACTAATGCCATTTCACTTTTTCTCAAATATCTCAAAACATTTATAAGCAAAGTGGGTATAGTTACCAAGTTAAAAATGTTCTTTGTGATGAATTACATATAAAAATATTGTTAACTCAAATCGACTTTTTGGTGACATGCCTCGTTTCTATTGATCAGACCCCATATACAGTGGATATGATTTTTTTCTTGAAACTGACTGCAGTCAATTTAAATCATGTAACACAATCCCGCACTTTTAATTTCATACATTATTGCAGTATATTCGAGTAAAACTTTAAAATTTTTTTATTTTATTAATTTCATCTTTATATAGATTTATTATAATACACAAAAAACAAAAAGCGAATTTGGTCAATACGTTTAATAAAATCAATTGGGATCTTTGTTACATGTGCATTTAGTATTTAATCTTATGAGATCCTCTAGTTCTTATAGCAGCTAATAAAATAATAAAAAAACTATTATTTAATAACATCTAACATTAAAATGAACCCTTCGGAAATGCGTCCAAGATCAAGATCACCTAATTTTCAAACTGAAACCACCAATATGTTGTCTGATCAACTTTTAGGGAATTTAGAAGCTAAACTCCCATATGAAAAAAATGACAATTCTTTTATAAAATATAGAATGAATCACACACCGTTAATTGGACCATTTCTAGAAAGAAAACGCTGGAGATGTGTATCATGTTTAATAGTGGTTATGATTATTTTAGCTTTGTTTCAAGGTGTTTTAATGTTTTTCGACTTCTTATTGTCTTCGAGGAATGATCATCCAAAAATTGGTATGTTAAATACTTTTCGATCATAATTTGTAAAATCATAATAATATTAATAATAATAATAATTTTTGTATGTTTAAAACAAAAGAAAAACAAAATTATCAACCGGTAAAATATATTGGCATACCTTCTAATGTGACAACTGAATTAAATCAAGAAGTTACAAAGATTTTTCATGTCACAAAAGAATTTGGATTAGCATCAATGGGTGGATTAGGTCATATAGTTACAGGATTGTCACAAGCTCAAACTGCTAATAGTGCATTAGATGTAAATGTAATCATGCCTTTCTATTCTTTCTTGAAGTTATACCATGAATTTCGTAGTTTTGCTCAAATGTCAATTGATATTAAAGATAAATATGGAAATTCACAACAAGTCGTGTTTTTAGTAAATTACTTTTATTGGAATGTAACTCAAGATGATGCTGATATATTGAGTGACGAACCACCACCAGAGCCAAGAGCTGTAAAGGTTTTTGTGATAGGTCCTGATAAAAATGGCATGGAACCTTTTAATTTAGCCTTTGAATCGGATGGTGTCATTGATATATATTCAACGCCACCAGGTTTACCTCAAGAATGGAAGGATCTGTATTTTTGCAAAGCTGTAGCTGAATTAATAGCATATATAAATAATAATGTTGATACTCCCTTGTTTGCTACTCAAGAAGAACATGGTGTTGACGTGATACATATTCATGGCGCTACAAATGCATTGGTAGTTGAATTTATCAAGGATTTAAATAAAGGAAACAACAGATTTAGTAAACCACCTCCTGCTATTGTTTATACTTTACATGATTATTTGGAGGAACAATTGTATTCAAATGAGGTTGTAAACATTTTAAAATTTATGGATTTAAAAAATTACACAACTGAAAAGCCAAATTATTTTCATGGTTCAAGAATGTACACATCATCATTAGCAATTGATCAAGCAGATTATGTCACGTTTGTTTCATATACAATGGCAAAAGAAATGGTGGAAGGACCGATGGATTTCTATCTTAAAGAATTGATTATGCCTAGTATATTGGAACGTGCTAAAACAGGAAATTGGATTGGAATAACTAATGGCATTGATCTTACAAGTTTTAATCCATTTAATGACTCATTATTAATTGAAGCCAATTCAAACTTTCCAAAGAACATTTATACATTCAATCCAAATGCTCTTATTCCTGGAAATATTGAAGAACGTTATGATAAACTGGTAATCTCTTCAAAATATAACGCAAAAAAACATTTAATTAGAGAAGGCCTTCTTCAAGAAAAAGATTTGAATCGTGTAATTGTATTGTTTGTAGGTAGATTCCAGTACAACAAAGGTGTACAGTTTTTCTATGATGCTGCTCAAATTATTTCACAATTAAATGCTAAATTTATAATAATGGGACAACATAATAGTTATCCTGTTGAAAAAATTGCCACCATAAGTAAAGAGTACCCGGATGATGTTGTGGTTATTAGTGATCTTGAATTTCAAAAAAATTGGGGCTCTTTATATAGAGCTGCTGCTGACATATTATTTGTACCTAGTCTAACAGAAAGTTTTGGATTAGTGGCAGTTGAAGGTTTATTATTTGGAGCTCCCGTAGTTAGTACAGGTGCTGGCGGATTAAAAGAATTTTTGAAAAATAAAACACATAATGTACCATCATCACCAGATGATTTAGATTTCGATTATAATTCATATTTGTTTAATTTATATGAAAATGATATGTTTGATTTATCAATTGAGGAAATGAGATTGGCTTTAAGTACAGCCATCAATGATATAAAAGGATTGTCAAATGATATTAGAGGCAAAGAAATATTTTTGAGGAAATTGATCAAAGATGCTTTAAGTTTAGATTGGAATAAACCTGGTGGAGCTGTTGATCAATACGCCAAAGTTTATAACATGGCAATTCAAAAACACAATAACTTAATATAGATTAATATAATAATATAATATAGATTAATTTATAATTTATAATTTATAATTGTAATATTTTTTAATATTTTTTTTAGAATAAAATATTTATAAAATACTTTGTTATAAAGGCTATCTATTTTGGGAATTAAAACTACATTTTTTAGCTTAGAAATGATACCCATTTTATTTAATAAAAATTGGTTGTATATATACAAAATTGAACGTGAGCCATACAACTTATTCTTCTAGATTATGATTGGCTAAAATATTAAAGATATTCAAGTAGAAAATGTGTTAACCAAACCAAAATCCTGGCCTCTGAAAACGATATTGATAATTTTATTATCACAGATCATGAATCAATTTGAAAATTATAACAGCGTTAATATGATATGGTTTATACTACCGAGTGGATTAGAAATTCGAAGAAAAAGAAATTTCAGCAAAATATCAAAATGTTTAAAGATTTTTTCAGCAGCCTTTATTTCATATTGTACTAATTTATTTCAGACATTGAAATCACTGAAATATAATAACACCTTCCCGTATTCCAATTTTCTCATCAAAATCGAATTAGACAATAAATCATAAATTTTATTCAGTGGTCAAAGGTTAATTCTGATACATTTTATTACCAGGTTGAATGCTGAATCTTGCAATTATCTTGATATATATAAATAAAAGTTTGATTAGAATCTTTCGAAGGTGTTGGTATCACCACATATGTACGTGTAACAAGGTCTTTAAAGATTACGTATTCACAAAAATTTGATGTAATATTAAATTCATTATTTATTTCAAAGTTCTTTTAAAATGGTACGTCAACCAAAAACTAATCTAGAAATTAATGAAGTTTAATTGAAAATAAAAATTTTTTTTACAAACAACGATAGATCAAGAAATCATTTTGTGTATTGATTCAATGTTATATTTGAGAATTTATAGGGCAATTCTCAGTCTCTTAATCTTAATCCATCAGGATCCGGTAAAGATGATAAGAATAAAGATGAAAAGGTACTATGATTGTATTTCTTTTGACAATGACTTATAAGAATTTGATGATATATCTTACAGATCAATTAAATCCTTTTTTTTTCAGGATAAAGATAAAAAGAAAAAATGGGAACCACCACTTCCTACACGTGTTGGCAAGAGAAAGAGAAGAGGGCTTGATGCCATTTCAAAACTACCAGCTGGTATTTATTTAAATAGATATTGATAATTCAAGAAAGTTATTTTTTTCTTTAAAATATACTCTATAATGATGGTTGATTTTATTTTGTTGAGGGCAAATATAAATCATGTTTTTTGTTAAATTTATTGATCAATTAGTATTTCCTACAACGAGATGTCATCTCAAATTGTTGAAGATGGAACGTATAAAAGATTATTTATTGATGGAAGAAGAATTTGTCCAAAACCAAGAAAGATTAAAACCGCAAGAAGAAAAGGCACAAGTATGAATTTGTTCTCAAAGAAATATTAAATCAATCATCCAGTCAGTTTATTTCTTTTTCTCCATTTATTTAAAAACTTTTTTTTTGGATGTTTCTAAATTTCATATATAGGAAGAAAGGATAAGGGTTGATGATTTGCGTGGATCACCAATGGGAGTTGGTACATTGGAAGAAATCATAGATGATGATCATGCAATAGTCTCCTCTTCTACAGGTCCAGAGTATTATGTCAACATATTATCATTTGTTGATAAAGATTCATTAGAACCGGGTTGTTCGATTCTTTTGCATCACAGGGTATTGTTTTTTATTTACTTTTTGGATTAGTTGGTTGGTTAAAAGCATATCCATATTGATATATATACGATATATACGCGTATGTAGGCCATGTCTGTTGTTGGAGTTCTTCAGGATGATACAGATCCAATGGTCAGTGTGATGAAACTTGAAAAAGCACCCACTGAGTCATATGCTGATATTGGTGGGTTAGAGCAACAAATCCAAGAGATTAAGGAATCAGTAGAATTGCCCTTAACGCATCCGGAATTATACGAAGAAATGGGAATAAAACCTCCAAAAGGAGTTATTTTATATGGAGTTCCAGGAACCGGTAATAAAAAATTAATGATAATAAAATATTTATATATTTGTGCATTTATTTAATATTTAAAAATTTTATTTTTTAAAAAAGGCAAAACACTTTTAGCAAAAGCTGTAGCAAATCAAACATCAGCTACATTCTTACGTGTTGTTGGGTCAGAGTTGATTCAGAAGTATCTCGGAGATGGACCTAAACTTGTGCGCGAATTGTTTCGTGTTGCAGAAGAACATGCGCCGTCAATAGTTTTTATTGACGAGATAGATGCTATTGGAACAAAACGGTACTTTATAATCATTAGTTATTCACTCTTTTATACCAAATTGAAATATCAAATATATACTAATAATACTCATACTATATATATATGTAGTTATGAGTCAAATTCTGGTGGTGAGAGAGAAATTCAAAGAACTATGTTGGAATTATTAAATCAATTGGATGGGTTTGATTCTAGAGGAGATGTTAAGGTTCATAATTATCATCATCATTATTATTTGAACCCTTTATTGTATGAAATTATTATATTAATATATAATAAAATAATATATATTATATATGTAAAGGTCGTCATGGCAACAAATCGTATAGAATCACTTGATCCTGCTTTGATTCGTCCAGGACGTATCGATCGTAAAATAGAATTTCCATTACCAGATATAACAACTAAAAGAAGAATCTTTAATATACACACCAGCAGAATGACTTTATCACCAGATGTAGATCTTGAAGAATTTGTTATGTCTAAGGATGATCTAAGTGGTGCAGATATTAAGGTAATTAATCAATAATTTAAAAAACTTATTGTTTTTATTGTGTAATAATCATTATTTTTTCCCTGTTTTTGCTCTTTAGGCTATTTGTACTGAAGCAGGTTTATTAGCACTTCGAGAAAGACGTATGAAAGTGATCGCAGAAGATCTTAGGAAAGCAAGAGAAAAGGTTTTATATCGTAAATCTGAGGGAACACCCGAGGGTCTATACTTATAATTCAACATTATCATTATTATTTTTATATATTTTTTCAATAAAATAATATATAATCGCGAGTACACCAGAAAAACATTATTTCAATAAATAAAAAGTATATTATCAGAAACATTGGTGTTTTATTATATATTTAATTAAAAAATTAATCTTCGTCCCAATTAGGATTTTGTTTTGGTGCTTTAGGTCCACCAGCTGGTTTACTCATGATAATCTATTTTTTTCAAATATACATTATAAAATACAAAATTAACAAATCGACCTACCCAGTTAATTGCTTAATCATAATTAAGAAAAAATAAAGAAATACCTGATCAACTCTTAACACAGTTAAAGCAGCATCAGTAGCAAATTTAATGGCCCACAACTTACTAGCATAGCAATCTAAAATTCCTTTCTCCACGACATTACAAACACCTCCACCATCTTCTTCATTTTCAATGTCTACACCTATCAATCGATTATAATTTTTAGCATCTTGTGATTCGTCTTTACAACCTTCAACATCATCTATTGTTGTATCACTTCCTTTTGTTATCTTAGTGGTAGTAGTACCAGCAGCAATATCAGCATTATAATGAATGGAATAAAGTTTTGCTAAAACTTTTGTAGCATCTAATCCAGAATTTTCTGCTATTGTTCTTGGAAAAATTTCAAATGCTTCACCATATGATTTTATTGCATGTTGATTTAATCCAGGTGTTTTCTTTTATTTATTTATTTTTTTTTTTAAGAAATTTTACTAAATATCAAAAAAAAAAAAAAAAAGAAGATTTATAAATAAATAAATATATATCTCTTACCTCGCCAAAACTGACTAATTGTTTAAGCAATTCCATTTCAGTTGCGCCAGCACCAGGAACTAAACGATTATCTCTGCCAATGGCTTTAACTATATTAATACCGCCATCAATAGCTCTCTCAATATCATCCAAATGATTTTGTGTAGCTCCACGAATAATTATTGTAGCTGTTTTAGTTGTTTCATTTTCTAATCAATTTGATAAGATAGATATGAATATAAAATATTATTATATAAATAAATACATAAATCAAATATTTATTTTCATAATAAATTTTTTACCTTGTCTAAAAACGGTGACTCTATCACCACCAATTTCAACAGTTTCTACAATGTCACAATAACCCATCTCTTCTGGTGTAGGAACACCTAATCTGGCCAATGCATTTGCATCTAAAACTTTACATAATCTTCTTAAATCAAACTTTGATAACACTTTAACCACCATAATATTAAAACGATGGCAACAAATCGTATAGAATCACTTGATCCTGCTTTGATTCGTCCAGGACGTATCGATCGTAAAATAGAATTTCCATTACCAGATATAACAACTAAAAGAAGAATCTTTAATATACACACCAGCAGAATGACTTTATCACCAGATGTAGATCTTGAAGAATTTGTTATGTCTAAGGATGATCTAAGTGGTGCAGATATTAAGGTAATTAATCAATAATTTAAAAAACTTATTGTTTTTATTGTGTAATAATCATTATTTTTTCCCTGTTTTTGCTCTTTAGGCTATTTGTACTGAAGCAGGTTTATTAGCACTTCGAGAAAGACGTATGAAAGTGATCGCAGAAGATCTTAGGAAAGCAAGAGAAAAGGTTTTATATCGTAAATCTGAGGGAACACCCGAGGGTCTATACTTATAATTCAACATTATCATTATTATTTTTATATATTTTTTCAATAAAATAATATATAATCGCGAGTACACCAGAAAAACATTATTTCAATAAATAAAAAGTATATTATCAGAAACATTGGTGTTTTATTATATATTTAATTAAAAAATTAATCTTCGTCCCAATTAGGATTTTGTTTTGGTGCTTTAGGTCCACCAGCTGGTTTACTCATGATAATCTATTTTTTTCAAATATACATTATAAAATACAAAATTAACAAATCGACCTACCCAGTTAATTGCTTAATCATAATTAAGAAAAAATAAAGAAATACCTGATCAACTCTTAACACAGTTAAAGCAGCATCAGTAGCAAATTTAATGGCCCACAACTTACTAGCATAGCAATCTAAAATTCCTTTCTCCACGACATTACAAACACCTCCACCATCTTCTTCATTTTCAATGTCTACACCTATCAATCGATTATAATTTTTAGCATCTTGTGATTCGTCTTTACAACCTTCAACATCATCTATTGTTTCTTTGGTGCAATTACTTTAGCTACAAGATTATTATTATCATAATAATTGATCATGTTAAATTAATCTTTCATATATTGAACAAACTCCTATCAATTAATTGATTAAGATTACTCTTACATCCTTTTCTTAAATCATTGCTTTT